AAGTAATTTATATTAACCACTTATCAGGTGACTGTTGAGTAAATAATTCATCCCATTCCATCGGCTGCCTTTATCTCCAAGTCACCATTTCCTTGGAAGTGCAGAAGCTATTTAATTTAATGTAATCCAATTTATTTATTTTTATATCCACTTGCTCAGTCAGTGTGTTTCATCCTTGAAGATGCCTTTAGCTTCAATGTCATGGGGCATTTTGCCTGAATTTTCCTCTATGTACCTAATGGAATCAGGTCTGATATCAAGGTCCTTAATCTATTTTTATTAGAATTTGGTGCTGTGCATGGCATTAGAAGGAGGTCTAAGTTCTGAGACAGGAAGGAAGTGATTGATCTGGGAAAATGGGTGCATGGGGAGCAAGAGGTCAAGAGATTAGCATTTGCCAAAGGAAGCTGAAAAACAAGTTTAAGGGAATTGACAGAGAAATCAGGAAGTTTAAGTAGGTTGTGTGGTCAGGCTGCGGGATCTCGAAGATTAAGTTTTCAATAATGAAGTGACTTGTGGAACAGTAAGTTTCAGGGTGTGGTTCTATATGTAGGTGATAGAACTAGAGTAGAATTTGAAGGTTACTGGAGTGACAAAGCCTAGGAATTGTGGGGAAAGTCTTCATGGTGCTTGAGCAGACTCTGAAACCACCCCGTATGTGGGAAAAAGTAGGGCTAGAGAAGAAAGTTCAGATTAATGTTGATAGTTATTGTGAGGGGGTTGGTTGATGATAGCAGGAAAAAGGAATTTAGATTTCTACTTTTTTTTGTTGGAGGGGGGTGATGTCACACCCAGCTGTGCTTGGTGCTTTCTCCTGGCTCTCAACTCAGGGATTACTCATGGTGTGTTCTGGGGACCATATGGGATGCTGGGGATGGAACCCAGTTGGCCACATGCAAGGCAAGGGCCTCACCCTCCGTACTATTGTTCCTGCCCCCGAAACTTAGGTTTAGTTTATGCTAAAAAGCACAAGCCTGCAAAATACAGGGAATTGTTAATAAGGGAAAAGAAATTTGAGAGAGCACTATAGTTCCCAATTCTGTGTCAAGTGGAGAGACCAAAAACTAACTCTTGTGTGGGTGGGAGAAGAGAAAAGTAACTAGGGCGTTTAGTTTAGTGAAGAAGTAATGAGAGATTTTTTTTTTTTTGGAAAATGAAAATGCTATGATGATGATGATGATGATGATGATGATGTGTGTGTGTGTGTGTGTGTGTGTGTGTGTGTAGGTTAGGGCCATACCTCGTAGATCTCAGGGATTACTCCTGGGTCTGTGCTCAGGGATCACTCCTGGCAAAGCAAGCACCTTAACTATTGTACTATCTTTCTGGCCCTGAAAATGCTCTGGACTTTAATGATCAGAAAATGAGGTTTTAGAGGCATGAGGATTATTTGTGACTTTATAGGAGCCGTGGGCATTTGCTTATCTCCAGATTCAAATATGAGTTTAGTGTTAAAGTTCAAGATAAAGTAAGAGTCTAGTGGAACTTACTTTAGAATTGAAGGTTTCAGGGATATGAGGCATGGTACCACTCATAGACCTCATTTACAACAGTTATTTTGATATTAGATTGCCTAATATTAACATAATTTTAAAAATATTTTAAATTTAAATTTTTTCTTTTTAAAAATTATTATATTCACTGTGATTTATAATATTGTTAATGATAGATCTTCACACACATGTTATAACACCATACCCTCCAGAAGATACACACCAGAGCATTCTCTTCCCTCCATCATTGTTTCAGGCATCAAAGTTCCCACTCTCCCCAATGGTATGATCAGTTCTATAGACTTAGGTTCTATTGTCTTTGGCTGAAATGAATATTCTTAATGGCAGTGGAAGCAATTGGTGAACTTATTTGCCAGATTAGAAAAGTGACACAGAATTTCATTTCAAATATTAATGAACAAAGTAGATTTTATTCCTGATAACCAAGTTGTTTTCAGAGATTATTTCAAGACTTATAAATGTCTTACAAAAATAAGGTTAATCCACTTGCTCTGTGTAAAATCATGTCCCTAATGAAATAGAACCATGGGTCTCCAACAGAGTCCCTGTGACAACTACTGTGAAATATCTGTGTCTATGATTTTGCATCTTTCTCTTCCTTTATCTGTCTCCTTAACAAGCTTTATGACTAGGTATCCTATATTACCTTGTAATGATGAACCCAATATTGGGGAAAATTCTCTTCCTTTCCCAAAGATACACCATAGGAAGAAACATTTTCTTTTTCTACTAATGATGGCCTTTTCCTCTGAATTGGTCACTTGATTTTCCTGAACTGTGAAGATGTAAATTTCATATTTGTGATTCCATATACTCTAACACAAGTAAAAATAAGGAGGTATAGCATCCAGATTTGTTGTTTACCTAGTTGGAAGATATTGAATCAATCTCATTCCTGCTTCAGTCTCCTCTCCAGTGTGAATCTCATCTTATGAGGGGATATGAGACCTCTAAAGTTTGTGTGTGTCCAGAGTCTAAGCAAAATTGGCATTTAATAAATGGTGGCTTTTACTCAGAAAAATATCATGACAAAAGCAGGCTAAGGTCGTTCACAATAAACCCATTGCGTCTTCACAGTTTTATGAGATGGCTACTATTGATAACAGCAAAGAGATGAAGAAATTAAAGTTTAGTATCATTTTATACATAGATAAACCATAGTTGAATCCCACTAAACTGCATATTCGACTATCTGACTAGTTCTCAGACCTGTCTGATTCTAAAAACAGACCTCCACCTGTGAGCATAGTACATCTACACAGACATTTAAGATTGGTCTGAAAATGTCAAACTGTTATTGAAAAAGATAGAAGTTTCACAGTGAGTGAGAGATTTAAAGACAGCATTCGGGAAAATAGGACAGAGAAGCCATTGCCAAATAAAAACCTCATGGCAGTGCTACAAGCTTCAGTGGAGAAGAGATTTCTTAGGTGTAGAACTTTGTTTAGTACTAGGGGGTAGTTTGTGTTGAATAGCTGACATCCCAATCCTATAATCGCATCATGAAGATGAGAGCCCTGGATTCCAATTTGAGAGCTGGTGGGAAGGGAAGTGAGTTCAGGAAAGCCTAGAAAAGAAGTAAATCCAGCCCTCTAAAAGTCCTTGAGCTGAAGCAACAATATTTGTCTAAAGAACACCAATAGGAAAAGGAATCCTAGAGTTTATACAGCATTGTCAGAGGAATTAAGCAACTATAGGGAATAAACCACAGTTAGAAAGGTTGACAGGTCTCATCGACTTCTCACAACTTTTTTGACAGAGCTGGTGGGTGCTATATGGAAACCCCTCTGCATACTACTAGACACTGAGGCAAATTCCTGATGAGAGCTCCACCACTCCATAGCAGGTAGTCAAGCTACCTAGGGACAGAAGGATATCTATCAATGGCGGATAAATAGGTCTGTACCCAGCTAGTCCTCACTTTGTCTGTTAGCAAGCAAGATACACTCCTACAGTTAGCAAGCATCATGTGGACTTAAAGTGGTCCCACTGCCTGCTAAGCTCCCAATTAGTTCTTGGTCATTTGTACTGCACTGCCTACCAAGACTCAAGTAGGATGTGTTCTGCTACCACATGGGCTTGGGATTCCAGTGTTCTTCCTTGTCTTCCTCAAGACCAGATTACCAACCTCTATCCAGGTCCATGTGTTTTCAACTTCACCGATATTCCCAGCCCTTTGTTCCTGTGAGTGCCTAACTATTACACTGGCAACTCATCTTTAGCTTCCACGATGCTAACTAGGCCTGTGCCAAAAGAAACTTTCAGTCACCCCCCAGACCCATTTCACAATGAAACCCCTACTTCTGCCTTGATAAACACACACTGCTGTCCATTATTGCCAAGCATAATGAAAATATAGAAGAACTCACCCATGCCAAAGAATCAAGACAAACTCCAGTGACAAGAGAGAAAGTATTGCCAGTAGGGTGCTGTCTTGATGCTGTTGACACAGGTTTGATCCTTGACATCAAGGATTGCCTAATAATCTCCAGGAGTGATTGCTGAGCACAGAGACAGGAGTCAGTGTTGAGCACCAATGGGTGTAGTCCAAAAACCAAAAACATAAAACATCAGGAAAAACTCGTAACATAGCATGGCAGAGTTAATTACTTAAAAGTGATGGTCATAATGATGCTGGCTATGATGACATAAATGGAAAAGAATAACAAACAAAGAGAAGGTATAAGAAAAACCTAATGGAATTCATAGACTAAAGAATATAGTTATTAAACATAAAAGTTCCAGTAGAAAGGCTCAATAGTCTGATAGAAACTAAGATTAAATTAGTCAGTTCAAGATAGCTAGTGAAATTAAAATGTGAAGATAATATGAAACATAGGGACAATAGCAAGAGGAACAATCAATTTGAAATATAATTGGAAAACTATATAGCGACTTATGATAGCCCGATAACAATAGCAAAGCGACAACAAAAATCAAATCAAAAGAGGCAAATGAACCTCATCATTATAAAAATGTAAATATCAAAGTATGAGGAAAGAGACTAGGAGAATAAATGAACAGAGAAAAGCTGTAATAGCATTCAGAATCCACATAGAAAAATGTCAATAAGTATTTTATACTAAACATTATACTAAACATCAATGGCTTTAACACACCAATGAAAATACACAGAGTGGTGGGATGGATCAGAAAAAAAAATCTGATTTTCTGAACTGTACAGGAGAGCCATTTGAATTCCATGATAAATATTGCATCAAAACAATAAAACGTAAACTGAAAAAAAAAAGAATGCCAGCCATGTTTAATCAGATAAAATAGACTCTATGCTAACAAATGTGCCTGGAGAGAGGGATATATGTTTTATAATGCTTAAGAATCAATTTAAGAGGGTTTACATTTATTAACAAATATGCATCAAGGAACACTGAAATATAAGCAGATTTATAGAAAGAAAATGCTAGTATAGAAGATAATTCACCTCTCATCAATGAGCATATCAAGCAGACAGAAAATTAACCAGGAACACTCCAGTTCCATTTCTCATCAAATCTGGACACGAATGTTGGTTATTGTTAAAGGAGGAGTGGTAATATTGAAACTGGCTTCACAGGACTTGTAGTCTACCATATAGCACCTTGGCTAATTTAAAATAAGGTAAACACAAGAAAGAAGAAAGGAAACCAACGAGGAAATAACCTTAAATGAGGAGTTTAACCAAATGAGCATTGTAGACTTTAAGATTTAATTTCCTAATTTGCAGGGCTTTTCAATCTCAAAAGCTGACTTCACATTCTTCTCAGGTTAACATGAAACATTTGGAGGGATATGCCACATGTAGGGACACAAAACAAGTGTCATTCATGACAATGAATGATATCAAATCTTTTAAAAATCACAATGAAACAAGACTAGAAATAGACCACAAATATAAATCTGGACAAAACCAAAACATGTGGACACTAAGCCTGCACTAAGCAGGCTACAGGGTAAGTGAGAAAATTAAAGAATAACATTTTTAAATGTTCTGGAAAAACATGAAAATAAAAAGACAAACAATAATAACATATGGAACACAATAAAAATAGTATAAAGGAGATTATTATAGCAATCAGACTTGAATCAGAAAACAAGAAAAATCTCAAGCAATATAGTTTTAGATATTAAAGAATTAGAAAAAAACAACAAATGAAAACGAGACTCTGCTGAAGGGAGAAAATGATAAAGATAGAGCAAAATAAATAAAATGAAAATTTAATAAATTATACAGAAGATCAATGAAACCAAGAACTGGTTATTCAAAAGGGTAAGCAAGATTGATAAACAGCTAGAATTCCTAAGAACATCTAACATATAGAATCAAAAATGAAAAGGGAATGGCTACAATTGATACCACAGATACAAAAGATTATGAATAATGACTGTAAAGAATTTTATGCCATAAAATTGTATAATGTGAAAGAAATGAACTTAGTCTTAGGCTCATACAACCTAAAGAATTAACATTGTTACAATGGTCATCCTTTCCTAGGTATTATACAGTTTCAATGTAATTCCTACAAAATTCCAGGGGAATTTTCCCTTCATATTATATTCTCCTTATTTTCATATATAAAAATTATAATTTACAATAATCTTAAATTTATGGTATTAAAGATTGGTATTATATTATGGTATCAAGCTGAAAACTTCTGCATGATGAAATAAACTATTACCAAATTATTACGAAACAATGTACTCTGGGAGAAAACATCTACATACCAAACATCTGATAAAATTACTGCTCTCATCAACTCTAAATAATCCAAGACTCTCCACCATTCTCCCTAAATCTCCTCTAGTTTGCCTTTTTATTCGCCTCCCAACTACTTCTTGGTAATCTGAATTTTGTAATCCAAGGCTAAGAGTTTGCCATCATTCTATACTACCTAATTCCAAAGGTCTTCTCAAAGGAGATAGAGTAAATATTACTGAAATTAAAATTAAACTACTCTAAATCCCAAACAGTCAAAGAAATTATAAAAATAGGAGAATGGGTGCATCATCTTCCCTTACTTTAAATTGTATCACAAAGCTATAGTAATTACCATAGTGTGTTGCTGGAGTCTACATGCCTTGTATGTGGAAGTCCAGGGTTTGATCCATAGCACTTCATGGGCCCCTGAGTTTTGTTGGGAGTAGTTCCTGAGCACTACTAAGAGTGACCCCAAAACAACAACAACAACAAAAAAAAACAGAACTAAGATCAGTGGAATGGACGAGAGACCAGAAATAAATTCTCACAAAGTTGGATAGTTGTTTTATTTTAAAGGAGCCAAGAGAATAAAATAGAAAAATGAATGTTTCTTCAATAAATAAAATATTCGGATATTTGAACTCAAACCATAAATTACATAGAACAAAGCTGGTAAACACTCCACAGTAACGATTTCAGTTATATCATCAGGAAATTAATTCCAACGCTGTGGGGACCACAAGCAAAAATAAATAGTTGGAGATACATCAAACTGAAAACTTCTGCACAATGGAAGAATCTATTATCACACTATTATTAAATAGTGTACTACAGGAGAAAACATCTACATACTAAACATCTGATAAGGGGTTAGCATCCAGGATAAACAACTCATAAAAGTCAACAATAAAGAAAAAAATAGCCCCATCAAAAATTGGAAAGAGTTATTAGATATTTCATTGAAGAAAGTAAATTGCGGGTCAGCAGAGATGAAACTAAAGCTTACTATAAGAGAAATGAAGATTCAAGTATAACTTCACTATATATATATATATATAAAGTGCATGTAATATATAATGTAACATAATATACATAACTTCACATATATGAAACGGTCCATATTCAGAACACCAAAGACAATGGTTTTGGAGAAGGAATACCAAGAAAGAAAGCTTCCTGCACTGCTGGAATTGTAAATTGTTCTAGCCTCTGTGGAAGACAATATGCTGGTTTCTCAAAACATTAAAAATAGATCTGCCATATGTTCCAAAATTTTATTTCTAGATATTTAGCTGCAGAACATAAAAACACTAACTTGAAATATATGTGCACAAGCTGTTTATTGCAGTACTATTTTACAATAACCACAGTCTGGAAACAGCAAGTACTTAACATCAGATGAACAAACAGATAAAGAACTTGTGGTTAGAATATCAGAATACTACTATTATTTTTATATATATACATATATATATACATCAGAATACTACTCATCTTTATGAAACAGTAAAATATTTCCATTTGTAAAAACAAGGACTGAATGGAGTGGAAGTAATGTTAAGTGAAATAAGTCTGAAGGAGAAAGACAAATGGTAAATGATTTCACTTATGTATGGAGATAGAAGAGAATGCAGGGAAACAGACAAAATCAAAACAAACCTCCAGATTCCTACTGAGGTTACCAAAGCACAATGGCAAGTGGGATGAAGAGTGGAAGGGTCCTATGGAATGTTGTGAGAGGGTATTGGTACTTTGTTAGTAGGAGTAGTGTTGTAAGATACATTTGAAGGGATATGAAAGTCTACTTACAAAACCATAAATGGTCTTAAAAATCTACATTAGCTCTGTTAGCACTGCCCTTCTATTGTTCATAGATTTGCTTGAGCGGATACCAGTAATATCTCCATTGTGAGACTTGTTACTGTTTTTGGCATATCGAATATGCCACAGGGAGCTTGCCAGGCTCTGCTGTGTGGATGGGATACTCTCAGTAGCTTTCTGGGCTCTCCAAGAAAGATGGAGGAATTGAACCCTGGGTGAGCCTCACGCAATAAAATGTCCTACCCGCTGTGCTACATTAGTTCAATAAAACATTAAATAACTTTTCAAATTTAATTACCAACTCAACAGGTAAAGATTGAGAGCCCATTTCCTTTGTTCAAAAATATATTATGTAATTTAAAATAATACTAAAAATACATGAAAACATGTAAAAGCAATTCTAATGTTCTTCCCAATTCTAATGTTTTTCCCAAAACCATTAGGCATTCAAAGAAAATAATTTAGAGAAGAAAATATCAAAATACTGCATTATGGCTATGTCCCATTCTATTCACTAAAATCATGTAACTATTTTTGATTAGTCTCAATTCTCATGCAGGTTTTAAATTCTTTTCATTTAATTTAGTCTTTAGTGCACAGAGAAAGAAACATAAAAGCTAATTTTCCAGGAAAGGAGAATCATACCTATAGCAGTTGGTTAGTTGCTTAGAGAGAACTCGGCAATTAGGTTCATTTGGATCATAAAAGCTATAGCTGAGTATTTCATTGTGTAGATGTACCATAGTTTTTTTTTTTAACCAGTCATCTGTTCTCTGGCACTTGGGTTGTTTCCAGATTGTGAATGAGCTGTGGTGAACATAGACGTACAGATGGCATTTCTGCTATGTGTTACTATACAACTGTTAGAAAAAGTGAAATTCTTTTATAAATGGATGGACATGGAGAGTACAATACTAAGTGAAATAAGTCAGAAGAAGAGGGACAGACATAGAATGATTGCATTCATTTGTGGTATATTAAAATAAAACATAATATGAGACAAGTAACTAAAGGCAGTAGAAAACAAAGGCCAGGAGGTTTGGTCCATGGTTGGAATTCTGACTCAAGTACTGGGAAACAAGGCAGTTGGAATAGAGAGGGGACCACTGAGACAAAGATAGCTGTAAATGATCACTCTGGATAAGAACTGTGTACTGAAAATAGGTAAGGAAACAAACATGACAACCTGATAACCTCTCAATATCTGTACTGCAAACCCCAAAAGAGGAGAGAGAGAGAGAGAGAGAGAGAGAGAGAGAGAGAGAGAGACAGACAGACAGACAGACAGACAGACAGACAGACAGAGAGCCTGCTATAGAGATAGGCTGTGGAGGTGGTGGTGGTGGTGGCAGGAAACTGGGGACATGTGGTGGGAAATGTGCACTGGTGGAGGGAGAGTGTTCGAACATTGTATGACTGAAACCTAACCATGAACAGCTTTGTAACTTTTGTAACTGTGTATCTTATGATGATTCAATTAGAAAAAATTGAAGAATTCATTGCAGGCACCTCAAATATTAAAAGCCAAAGACTTTTAATATTAATAGACCTCAAATATTAAAAGCCAAAGAATAAATTTTAAATCTTGTATTATTTGAACCTTCAATGGGCCCCCACGGGTGGCTTATGTGAAGTGTGGAGGAGAAACACTAGGTCATTTTCTCCCAGTGCACCTCTGCCACCCCAGGCCAGCTGGACAGGCTAGAACTGAGAAAGTCTATGATGAGCCCCTGCAGAGTCGGTCCTAGGACTTTCCCTGGGTTACCAGGTTCTTATTTTGTCTCACGGGAAAGAATTTCAGAAGTACAGAAGCAGTGAAGTCAAAATAGATTAAAAGTACTTTTGTAAGAAAAAAAAATTTAAAAATAAAGGAAAAAAAGCTATAGCTGATTTGAAATGTAAAGAGGGACGAATATGGACACTGAAACTTAGAAATGTCATACAATCTCTTTTCCTGATCCAAGCACATCAGAAATTATTTAGTTAGCAGTGAGCAGAGGCTACCTGTTGAGTTTTTTTAATTACATACTGGGCACACTATAAAAACACAAGGGGACTCTCTTTGGAGTGAACTTTTTTTTTTTTTTTTTTTTTTTTTTGCA